TTGATTAATTCACCTTCACATTTCATTACCGAGCTTAAAATTCACCATCTTTATTAACTTATCAAGAACATTCATGTCTGCTAAGCCCCCATAAAATCGGTCAGCGGCCCAAAATATTGCCGATAGTTACTTTGTGTCATGTTACCATGGTGGTAGTAAAGTGCAGAAGGATCAGCAAAGCAGATTTGACATTTTAAATCGTTATTTTTCAGTTTGGAACTGCAGTTCGTTAACTTATTTCTTTATTCGAAAAGTAAAATTTTGTTGATCATGAAATTCTTAGTGTGTGTTTGAGGTTTCTTCTTTTGGATAGAAGGGCAGGTTTACAACATTTGGGGCAACTTGCCTTTTGTAGGAGAGGAGAGAAGAGACGACTTATCACATGCAGTGAGCGGAACAGACAGTCACGTACGCGTTTCAAAGGTTCATTCAAGTTTCCAGACAGGCGGGTGATTCCCTCAGACCGACTGTGAACTATTCTGGGCAAAATCAAACCCGCGACGAGATGTAATTTTGTCGTATGAAGCTTTGCGCAGTTGTCAGTGAGGTACTCTCTACTCCAGTTAGCACTTGTTAACCTGTTGTTAATCGGCGAGCAGTAGTTTTACGCTAATACGTACATAGGGCAACGCTTAAATTGCGTCAAGACAGTTTATTCTTCGTTTAGTAACAAGTTGAAGCACTTTCTCAGTCAAATCATTGTGCATCAGTTGTTTTTCAAACTAATCTTCCGACGATGACGTCACATTGCGGTCTTATATGTGCGGGCACGCACGACGAGTATTGACGATGACGTCACATCAGCTACCATGAGATTGCCTCTACATTAGCAGCCAGCAGAATTTACTGCTCGGCTCGTACGAGAAAAGCCTAAAAAGTGAACATACCCATGTATCCCCAAAGCAGCAAACATCCTTAATGGCGCCCGCGCATGAACATGGTGGGCTGTTGACAGTTTTTGTCTGAACTCCTAGAGGCCATTGTCTGTCAAGACAAGACAGTCCCTTTTGTGTTCATGTCTACTGTATGCGAGCATCATTGAGAAGAAGACTTGACAAACTGAGATTATAGCGATTAACCTACGGTTAACACAGGAAACTATTAAGACGCAAAAATCTGTAGCGACGTCTTGACGGCAGGGCCGGCGAGTTTTCTCTTTTAAGAAACTCGTAAGCCTCCAACATCTGTGACGGAAGGTCCTCGTAAATATTTTATGTTTTCTCGCCAAATAATCATTGCTGTTTCTAAGAGTTCGGAAAGTCAACTTTCTCTGAAC